AGTCGTACACATTCGTCGTACACATTTATACACACTCGTATGCATTCGTACATACAACCTCGTGCACCACCTCGTGCACATGCCTCATTCCCTCACACGTCCTCCTCTCACAGGCCACGCCGGAGTTCCGAGCCAACCCCCGAGGCGGGAAACCCGACGACGTGACTGTGGTGGTCGCGGTGGCCGTGGAGGCGGACGAGGCGGCAATGGAGGGGGTGGCGGCGGCTTCGGCCGCCATCTCCCGCGCCCTGTCCGTCTCCAGAACGTTGTCTGAGTTGCAAGACAGCGGGATTGCGACTGGTAACTCAGGACGGCTTCCGAGCGGGGCAACCTTTGGTCGGGGGTGACGAATTAGGGAAGGAACAAAAGAGGCAAATGGAAAGCGTGCTGGGGCAGGGCGCGTGCGTGCGTGTATGTCTGTATGTATGCGAGTGCGTCTGTGTTTTTGTGGACGGGGGGGATTACAGGGGGGGGAGAAGGTGGAGGTGTCCGGAGATGGAGAGTGTTGTGGCGGTGAGATGACAGCGGTGCGGGCAGGAGAAGGAGGAAAGGCTAATGGAAAAACGACTAAAGGTTTGGTGTGGGGGGTTGGGGGAAGGGGGTTTAATGACACGGTGTATTGACACCGGGGGGGACGCGAGTTGAGTAATGTTTTTGTTATTTTAGTTGTTTAACTAACATGGCACGGTTCGGGTTTTCAAAAGGTGTGAATTTCGAAATGCCAAATGTGGTTAGGGGTGGCGCGTCTGGCGATTATGCATACTAAGGTGGTTATCGTGCGATGCTGGTGGTTGCAGTGACGATGGTGCTGGCTGCCGCAGTGGTGGCATTACTGAGGTCTGAGCTGACGGCGGGCAGCGCCTGTTGGAGGTGCAGCTACAGCTAAGTAGAGGCGGAGTAAAACACATACTTGGCCAGCCACAGCATTAGTTTTGGTGGGGGTTAATGAAACTGTAAGGGCGCGGTTTGGTCGGGGGGATGGCGGCGGCGGGAACTGCGCGATATGGGACGTTGCAGAACAGGAGGAGCGCGTGCCCCATCCGGTGAGTCGACCTTTTCGTCGTACTCGGCTGCCGTACCCCCGTACTCAATGTTTCGTACATGTTAGCTCGATGCGTAGCAAATCAGCGCGTTCGTCGCAGTCGGCCATTATCGCGTCGTTGTCTTAAACATGTGTGTAATCTGAAGCGGCTGAAGCAAGCATTGCAGCGCATTCCGTTTCATGTTGACCGTGGCTTTTCCCGTTTGCTGTTGGATGGAGGTTCAGATGCAGATGCAAACCATGATGCTCTCGAATTTGCATATTTTGTTGCTGGTTTTATTGTCTGTGTCGTCGTTAAAGTCATAGTTTTAAATGGCGAGTATGGCGAGTAAAAGGCCGTTGCTGCAAGTACCTTTGTTCATCAATCGTCGAAAGTCGGTGCAATTAATTTTTTGGACCGCACCTACCATTGAGATCTCATAGTAAGCATGTGCACATGTCTTATTAGCTCGCTCACGACCTTTTGATGCAGCAGCAGTGAGAGAAAGTGCGTTGAGGTGCGGTTAAGAGAGATATTTTAACAGGTAAACAAGTTTTCATCAGGAAACAATGAGATTTGGAGTTCATTGCGGGTTGCGCTAAACTCGTCGCCGTTTGTACCTACCTTTTACCGCTTTGGTACGGCGATTTTTCTGTTGTGGTTGTTTTATACGACATGTATGGGGGCAGGCGCCGCCGCGGCGTCTTGCGGATTTGGAAGAGTTTTGGTGTGTGTGGTCTGTGTGTGGGTCCCAGACGACCTGGGTTGATGATCGATAGCATGAAAAACACCGAATACGCGTGTTTTATAGGTGTACGTGTTTGTAACGTCAGCACGCAAGTTTTTTTGCGTGTGAGCGTGTGTGAAATTTTCGCGAGCCTTCCAGTGCATGCGCCATTAGCAAGAAGAGCTTACTCGTGTAGATGTCTAAGTTGCGGTTAGGGCGTCGTACACATTTTCGGTTGGGTCGGTTAGGTCGATGGAACCCTAACTGTTTTACGGACTTCCAAACTTGCTGCTATCTTAATGCAGACATGGGGGCCAAGCAATAAGAACAAGATTTCCTCATTTTCAAGGAGTTGTTTTGTATCCAGTAGCTAACCCTCCGTTTCGTCTGTGCGCGGTGCCGCACGTACGACAATGTACGGGATATGTGCTGCAAAGAAACGCAACCCCTTGGCGTGTGTTGCGTATTGTGTGATGCGCTCCTTGTGTGTGCACCTATTTTTGAGTGCCATGGCTGATTACTTGTTTTGCGTGAAATAATCCCCCTGCCTCTGTTGCCTTGATTGACCTCCTGCATTAAGGCCACGCCTCCGTGTGTGTGTGTCTGCGTTCGTGTGTATGTTTTCCTCGTACACTTCGTTGGAGCTTCCCCCTAGACCATGGGTGGTTGGAGAGTACGCGTGTGTAGGTGGGTGAGGTGGGGCGGGTGAGGTACGGCGAGGGTGGAGCCCCCTTGGTGGTGTGTCCCGTAATCGATACGGGATGGGCGCCTGCCCCGCGACGGGGAAAGGTGCAGATTGAGATAGCGGGCCATTACTAGATCATTTCATCTAGGTGCCGTTCGAAACAGGGGCCTCTCACCCTGCGCTTATATTTAATCACCGTAATCCCCTACGCGACACGTACGTGGTGCTTCAGTCGCCGGATCTAATACATATGTCCGGGAGAATAGAGGTGCGTCGGACGCCTCCTCAAGCGGGATTTTTGGAGCGTCAAAAAGCTTTCAATTTTGGAGAATCTTCGTATCGTATCTTCCACGTAAGTGTGTGTGTGTGTGTTGAAGTGCTCCTCCTAGTGAAGCCAAGGGTATCGTTCTGTGTGTGTATGTAATTGTGCGGCGTATGTATGTCCTTCACGAAGCTTCCTATATTGTGTATATGTGTGTGTGAGAGAGAGAAGATGTGTAAGATTTTGAAAAGTACTGGCCGGCCGGCGCGGGGGGAAGAGAAGGGCAAGAAGACGGTGTGGGCGGAGGGGCTGTGTACTGACCCCCCCCCCCTTGCGGGACCAACTCCTGATGGTAACGTCATACGGGGTCAGGGAGATATGTACGTACGACGTGACCCATGATGAGGTGTGGTTGGTGGTTGGCGGTTGGCGGTTGGTGGTTGGCGGTTGGCGGTGATGGTGCTTTTTTGGGGAGATGTTCCCGTCTCTGTGCATGGGCCCACCCACTTACACCCTCCACCCGATCCTCGCGCTCTCTCTTGTGCCGCCTCGTCTGCTCCCTTCACGTTGTGAAGGCCATGCATGCATGGCCGCTGTGGCATGTCCTAAGGGATGGGAAGCCGTGGCACCGCGGTATACATACAGAGATACAATAAAAGATTAAATGATCGTTGATGTTCAGAGAGGCTGGCAGTAGTGGTGAGAAATTTGCACGTGTTTCTGCTTCTTCAATGTACGTTTTTTATATGTCGGTCGGTATGAGTCCATTTCTCTGGATGTATGTATAAATGTATGCCTATCTGTCTGTCTGCCTGTCGGTTTGTCTGTCGGGCGAGTTATCAGAAGGTCATTGAGGGAGGCCGGAAGAGAGAAACACGGGAGCTTCCGTACAGCGTCTTCCGTACATTGTCGCCTAAAAGCAACCTGCGCTTTCTCGGAAGGTTCGCGAAGAGAAGAGGAATGAGAGCTATTAAGTTGTCCGGGAGTTGTTTTTGTGTTCCTGGTACGGCATCTCTCCTTAGCCTCTCTTTACACACATATCTTTGTAGTCTCGCAACGTTGCTGGCCGAAAACTCGGTGGCGGTGTGTGATCCTTCTTTTTGTATGTTAGGCAGAAGTGATGGCCTGCCCGCACACTGCATTGTACGGCACTGTGTATATCTCTCTAAGTAACCGAATCTTGTCCTAATACATCACATCTTGAAATAAAGTAAGCACGGGCAGGTCAGTTCGTATATCGGAAGGTGTGTGGATGTTGAAAATTGGATATCTATGCGTGTCTTGTAGCGAGTGTGTGAGGAGAAAAAAAGCACTTGCCTGGATTCCATATGTAAATAAAAGGCTCGTTTTGGTTTTGGTTTAATAAAAGGTCATACTTGGACATTACACATGTTGGCATCTAATACAGACATACGTACGTACATACATACATACACATCCATACGTACACAAGAACCAAAACGACTTGCGGTGTTAACTACTCCCCAAGCCAACCACACCTTACACATAAATACAAATATACACGCATACATACACACACACTCAAGGAAACAAATCCCCCTGCCCTTTTCCACCATCTCCATCGCCCCGGCTCACACGACGCCATCGCTGCGATACCCGCCAACTGCCGCCTCATCTTGATTTAACAATCGACAAACGAAACCAACGGAAATACAAAATCACAGACATATCTCTGCTACTACAACAAAACGTCGACAACGGCACATTATATAAAACAATAACAACAACCACCAGCATGCTTTCACTTAAACTACTTCTCGAGGCAAAAATGCACTTCAAGGGCCCAATAGGCGCGACCAGTGTACTGCCACCAGTGTACTGCCACCGCGGCGGCTACCCATCCTACCCTTCCCATCACCGCCACCCCAATAAGCGCACAACGCCGACAACAATCTCGGTTGGATGACAGGAAACCAAAGCAGACACGCCACGCAGCCCACTCTTACCACGCAACCACCATGCACAAAATCACGCACGGCGCACTCAAGACGACGCAAAAGCATCCATTGTCGCCGCCGGGCTTCTCACACTGATCACTCAAGACCCTATACCCCCCTTTGCTGGGTTGTTGTTTGCCTCTCCTTCTCCCCCCCCCACCGGTCTTCACCTTCCACATGTGCTGTCTGCCTGTATGTCTGGATGTCTATATGTGCGTCTCAACGGTCAAGCACATCGTTTTTTCCTCTTGGTCAGCCACGTCATTAGACTCCCGTAGCTCTACAGAGCTGTATAAGGACCATCGGCTTATGTGGCTACATAGGCCATGCATGGTCGGGACCGCTCGGACTCTCTCTTCATTTGAAGACAGCTCCCAACACTATGTCACTTTCTCTCACACTTCACAAGGACATCACAAATACATAATGGTGGGGACCACGACGGGGTTATCGCTCCCATGGCTTTCGCCGTACAGTCGGTACTTAGAGATCTAGCTTGTACGGCACCCACGACTCGGTGCTGTAGCTGCCGGCACACGTCATCAGCCACTTGTACGACACCAACGGCACTCCTAGTGCTGCCGCCGCCGTCGCAACGGCAGAGAACTGCCTCGCGGCGGCGCCGCCGCTGGCGGCGGCGAGTTCTGGATCGACCAATAGCAATGGATCTGGCAGCGTCGCTGCCGCCGCGGCGGCACCGCCAGCCTCAACCTGGTGTTGCTGCTGCTCCGGCTGCTGTTGCGGCGGCGGCGGCGGCTCGTTAACGGGACTGGTGCTACAGCCTTTCTTGTCCCTGAGCCTCCTCGTCGCAGCAGCTGCCGTCTTACCCCCCGCCGCTTCCGCCGCCGCCGCCGCTGGCGGTTGGGGAAGACGAGGCAGTAGGGAAGCTCCCAAGGCACGCGCCAGGGAAGTGACGTCATCTCGTACGGCAGCACCAGCTGTTAGGTTTTGTGGCGTGTGTACGGCACATTGTACGACGTGTTTGAGGTCAGAAGAGGAGTTCAGCTCACGAAGGAGAGAGGGCGCTGCGTGCCAGTATGTGTGGGGGAAGGAGACATCGACGCGTACAACGCGGTTTCGCACAGTACCAGCATGAAGGGGTGTCGTACTCTGGACGGTGAAACAGTTGTACTCCTGTAATCAACATCCGTACACCACCCATAAACTCCCAACCCCCAAGCGACCCCGCTCCCCAGCTGGCGGACAGACTGATAGACAGACAAACAGACAGACTGACTAACTGACTTGCCCACTCACCTGAAATGTGGATACGGACGCCCTCTAGTAGCACTCGGCAATCCGCCTTGAGCTCCTCCTCCTCACCACCACCACCACAACCACCACCACCAATCCCCGCCGCCGCCGCCGCTGACGTCGCTGGGTTTTCCCTGCAGCCTCCCTCCCCCTCCTCCTCCCTCGCCTCCTTCTCGCTTCCCTTCTCCTCCTCCGCCGCCGCCGCCGCCGTCACCTCCGCCGCCTCCGCCGCCTCCGCTGCCTCAACCGCCTCCGCCGTGTGAATAGTTCCGACACCGGCTCCCCCCCCCCCTGTTAACTCTCCTCGCGCTCGTACGTTGCTGACGTGGCTAACGTGACTTCCGCGCCGCCGCCGCGACGACGACGACGGCTGCTGCTGCTGCTGCTGCAGCTGGTCCGGCTGTTGCCCTCCTTGCCGTCGTTCCGGTTGGTGCTGTGTCTGTATGTGCATCTGTACGGCCTGGCGGGCTAAGCGACGGCGACGCGCCTCCGCCGCGCCGCACACCCCGCCGTTTTGGTCGCCCAGGACCGCGAACTCGCCGTCTTCTGGTACTGGGCCACCCGCGGCGAGACATGCGGCGGCCCAGCGCACATCCAGGACCCAGGCGCCGTGTGCTACACCCTGTATGTATGTGTGTAACATACACACAGGGGTAATGGGGCGGGTAGGAGAAGGGATGAGGGTTGTGAGATGCGGGGTGGAGATGACGATATGAAGATCCACGTGGCCGTCTTGCTTACTTGATGTTCACATGACCGAGGGATTGGGGTTTCGGAGCGTTTGATTGTCGTACATAACTGGGCTCCTCGCACGACTGGCCCCACTTCCGGGATGTATATTTTCCCTTCCCTCCCCCCCCCGCTATCCCAGCCTTTATAACCTAGCCAAACCGACTGTACGACAAGAGTCCCATCTGGGCTACCGTACCATCAAGTACTTGAAAGTACGGCGGGCTCGCCGTGATGCGTCCGTACCGCACAATACGTGCGTCACAGCAGGGTTGTACTGCTCTACTACTCGGCATCCTGAGGTTGGACGGCAAGGCGGTTGCGGGTTAGTCGTCAGTGGTGGTTGTATTGGTTTTGATGGTGGTTGCAGTGGTGGTTATGGCGGTTGGTTTCGATCATGTGCGGCGAGTATGGTAATCGCCAAGCAATTCAATTGGGCAAGGGACGGTTGTATCGGTTGTAAGTTGGGGAGTTAAAGTAGGGGAAAATACCGTTTTTTCTTTCCGCCTCTCAGACGTGCCGGGGCATGGGGAAAGCCGGAGGTAGTGGTGATGGTAAGGTGGTGGAGCGGATGGATCACATTACTACATCCACACACATCCACACATACATACATACATACATACGTGCGCACATCTGTCTTGCCTCATGTTGGCTATTCATGCCCCTACTAACCAGCTATAACGGTCACCCGTGGTAACCACACCGTGAATACATACATGCATACATACATACATGCATACATACATACGTACGCACCACAAGCCACTGCCAGCCTCTTCAGCAGCCCTTTCCCGGAGGGGCCGTCCTCCAGTGCCGACCCCAGCAGTATCCAGGATGGACACAGCTGCAACCATCGGCCGCCACTGCTGCCGCCGCCGTCACCAGCCGCCGCCGCCGCCACCGCCGCCGTCGTCGTCAACTGGCCACCTCCGGAAGGAGGATCAGCCGTTCCGCAGTCCTGCCGGGTCACACCTGGACTAATGAACCCAGCCGCTGCACCGCCGCCGGCGTCGGCGGCGGCGGAAGCGGTGCCGGAGGCTCCGCCTCCGTCATCCGTACTCAGAGGCGATAGGCGCGGCTTCTTGCGGCTGCTGCCGCCGCTGGCGGCGGCAGTGCTGGCGCGTCGGCGGCTGCCGCCGGCGGCGGACGCCGTCACCGCCGTAGGTGGCGGCGGCGGCAGCGGCGTAACAACCGCCGCCGCCGGCGTCTGTCCGGTAGGAACGCTGCGTCGTTGCTTGGCGGCGGCAGCGGCGGCAGGAGCCCGCGTGGAGCTTTGAGGCCGTTTGCCTGCAGACGCTGAGAGACGGCCTTCACCTTCGGCTGTGTTTGCCGCCGCCGGGCCGCACAGCGTGTCCCCGCCTGCCGCCGCCGTCGGTGGGCTAGCTGCTCCCGCGCCGTACGGTACGGATGCCATTGCCACTGCCGCCGCCGTCGCCGGAGCACTCGCCCTGCGGCGCTTCAGCGCGGGCCTTGGGGCGGTAGCTTTGCCGCCGCCGCCGCCGCAGCCATCCGCCGCTACCATTCCAGAACCATTCTCCGCCGCCGCCGCCGCCGCCGCTGCCGTTACCTCTGCTGGCCCACCAGTCTGCTGGTCCCGCATGCCATCAGCCGCCGAGGGATGCTGCGGTTGCGGTTGAAGCTGTTGCGGTTGATTCGGTTGCGATTGCGGCGGTGGATCATCTTTTACTCTTCTCCGCTTGCCTCCGCCGCCTCTCGCTGCTCCCTCAGTGTCATGGTGCTTCGGAAGTGCTGATGTGCGGGCAAGGGGCTGCGGCTGCGCAAAGCAGCCGTCGCCGTCGGCGTCGGCACCGCCGCCGCCGCCCGAACTCCCCACCTCGGGCGGTGCCGCAGCACGCTTCAGAGTGCCAGATAACCCTGCCGTCACTGCCGCCGCTGCTGTCGCCGTCGCCGGCAGCGGCGGCGTCACATTTGGTGCTTCGTCCGCTGCAGCCGCCGTCGCCGCTACCACGCCATCGGCACCACCTACAGCGGCGGAGGTGCGCTTGTCAGCGGCAGGGGCGTCCCCCTCGCCGCTACCCGGCATCTTGCGGCACCGGCCACCGTTGCCGCCGCTTCGTGTAGCCAGCCTGCCGCCGCTGCCGCTGCCGCCGCCCCCGCCGCCGCCGCCGCCGCCGGCACTGTCACCTTGAAGCGCCGCAAAGGCGGCGCTGTCTCGCGGCGCCGCGCGGGGCTTCTCGGTACGACACATGGCGCACCTGTACGACATTATAAAAAACACAGTAATGCAAGCTATCAGGCAGGCCCCATTCTGTCAATATTAACAAGCCTGCAAACGGCAAAACGAGGCGGCGCACCAACACTTATTAATCAACTTACCAGCTACAGTTTCACACAACCTTTTCACAATTTTTTTACAACTACGCACACAGGCTGCGCACGCAATCACAAACACGCAATCACGCTTTTTTTCACAGAAACAAAAGCCGCAAACGAATGCATGGAACGTATTGTCCCGGGGAGTTGCTGAAGCCAGATAGCCTGTGCGCAATGTTTAGCAGCCGCAGACCCTCCGCCCTCCGCCCTCAAAAATGCTGCACATTGAAACTACTGCGAGTGATTTGCCCCCAGTATCGAGGATGATGATGATGATGATCGTGATGGTGGTGATGGAGGTGATGCTGCTGCTGATGGACGTGATACTGATAGTGATACTGGTGATGTTGGCGACCAGAAAGATTCTGGGACCCAGAAAGGTTATGTATGCCCCTATTATTAAGTAATTCGTGTTCGCCATCACGCACCGCTTGCTGGCCGCCTTGTTTTCAAAGGTGCAGGAGGGACAACTCCAGGGAAGAAGACGACTGGGGACTCGACGGCCGCCACCTGCATTACGTTGTGTTAGGGTGCGTGTATGTGTGTATGTATGTATGTATGTATGTATGTATGTATGTATGTATGTATGACGTTGATTACACTGTGGGCTGAAAAGCCGGGGGCCCAGGGCCGAAGCACAGCGCGGGGGGCGGGTGCATACGGCTGGTTAGTCTCATGCACTCCGCCCCCGGGTCAGGCCGCACGGGAAACGACGGCCGGCACGCAACAGCGCTTGTTTGGCGCTCCAACTAGACGGGATCTATGCCCGTTGGTCTCCTAACATAAACGAAGTCGCAACTGGGGGGCTCTTCCTGCCGACCGAACGAACCGAGCATCTCAGAGAGCTCGCTACCAGGACTTGGGCGACCGAAACACAGCGCAGGGGGCGGGTGCATACGGCTGGTTAGTCTCATGCACTCCGCCCCCGGGTCAGGCCGCACAGGAAACGACGGCCGGCACGCAACAGCGCACGTATATATGTATGTATGTATATATGTATGTATGTATATATGTATGTATGTATGTATGTATGTATGTATGTATGTATGTATGTATGTATGTATGTATGCATGTATGTATGCATGTGTATGGGCCGGGGGAAAGCGGGGCGAGTTGGAGATGAGTTTGAGGCGTTGGTACTGTACTGGGAAAGGCAGGGGTGGGCAGGGGTAATACACACCGTTATACACACACGCACACAGTTACTCACGCGCATACACAGATACATACATATGGACATACGTAAACATACTCTCTTTCCTCCAGACCACAATACGATGTAAAGAGTTATTTGGACTATGTTTCGTTACTTGCAACGTGAGCATCGCATGTCTGGTGATGCAGGAAAACCCTAAAACCCTAGAAAACGACCCCATGCACGCACTCATGTCAGTGGGCTGGATCCCGGGCAGCGTGGAGCTCGGGATTTTAATCCATCTTTGGACGCTGGTTATTTAACGTTTGTAGAACGTTAAGTAGATCTTAGTAAACGTTGCCACACATATGTAATATATATAGCACATTATGATTGTGGAATACAAAAAGGCACGTGGAAGGCTTGATACGCTTAATTCGCGTTTTCAAAGTTTCCCGCTCAATTATTTTCAAATCACCGCGGTACACTACACGGAGAAGACGTACGACGCACATGTGGCAGGGGCCCCTCCAGACTCGAGCGACGCCAGGGCAGACGTCCGCAGAGGTTCGCCGCCGCCGCCGCCGCCGCCACCGCCGCCTCCCTTCGACGCCGCGGCCATCTGCGCTAACGCTTCGTTCGGCGATACAACGGATGAGCCCAAGAGTACGGGTAGGAGGCTGCCCGGGGTCTGACGCTCAGCGGCTGCCGCCGCCGCTGCCGCGGAGCATGTCGCCGCTGCCGCCATCGTTTGCGGTGGCGGCGTCGTACTGCCGTAACCTACGCCCCCGTGGAGGTCGTTCGTCAGCTGTGCTGTCACACGCACGCGCTCTGGTGCAACCACCGCCGCCGTCGCTGCCGTACCAGCGGCCAGTAGAGCGGCACCGGTGAGCATTGTCGTACACATGCCCCGACCGTTGGCGCCTCCGCTGTCGTGGCTTCCATCGTCGCCACCGGCGAGTGTGGCATCTCGGCGGCCGAGGATTGCCTCCGCTGCCGCCGCGGCGGCTGCCACCGCCGCAGCCTCCCCCCGCGAACCTGGCCCCGGCGGCGGCGACGGCGGCGGCGTGGGCCCGACGAAAGGAACACAGCCGCCGTCGCCGCGGCCTGCCGTACCGCAGGCGTCATCGCCACTGTTGCAGTCACCACCATCTAAACAGGCATCTCCACCGTCCGCTCCTAGGGGCGGCTCTACACCCGCGCCCCTATGTACGGCCATTTGCGGCCCCGCCTCCGCCGCCGTGGCGGCTTCCATCACGGCTGTTTTACCTGGATTTGGATCTGAATCTCGGGCCGCTACAGCGGTAGCGGGACCGGCTGCAGAGGCGTGACCTTCGCTTGTTTTCGCTGCTGCTGCTACTGCTACTGCAGCGGCAGAGGGCGTAGCCTTCAGCCTGCTACCGCCGCCGCTACGTCTGGATCGATTAGCGAGGCGACTGGGAGCAGGGCGACCAGGATCTAGCTGGTTCGCGGACGTCGTAGCCCCCCCGACGGCGGGCTCGGCAGTAGCAGCAGCAACAGCATCGGCGCCGCCACGACCGTCGCGCCCCCTCGCCGGTTTCCCATAGACCCCCCCGGCGTCCTGTTGTTGTTGCTGCTGCTGCTGCTGCTGCGGCGGCAGCTGTTGTTCTTGCCGTGACTGCGATTTCGGCTCCTGTTGCTCCTGCGGCTGTTGTTGTTCCTGCACTGTTGGCGGCGATGACGGCGGCGGCGGCGGCGGATCCCGGTGGTTCAAGTCTTCACATGAGAGCACAAGATGCCACAAGTCAGGTCTTGGGGGGCCTGCGATAGCGGCGGCGGCGGCGACATCGCCGCCACCATTGTCATCGCGTCGTTGGGGCCGCGCGTCGCCTGGCCTATCCTTCATGCCGCGGCCGCCGCCGCCGTGTACGGATGGCGGCTGGGCACCGTCGTCGCCGCCGCCACCGCCAGCCGCTGTCGCCGCCGTCCTTGCCGTACATTGACTGACTGGGCTCTGTGTGCATCAAAATGACATTACAACCCCAAGCACCATGACGGTGGCAGCGACAACGATATAAGAGGTTGAAACGGAGGAGGGGTGGGAATAAAAATCCGGTTCCGGAATAGGAATCCTCAAACCGCCGCAGAACGTGAACAAATGTTACGTGCGAAAGGCGGGCCCGCGAGGTGGGGCCTGGGGCCCAAATGAGATCAATTAGATCAGTTGTACGGCATGCACGTGTACAAATGCGAATGTGTGGAACCGGCAGGTGACACGGTAGCCGTGGATGACACCATCGTCGTACGGATGCTTGTACGAATAGTGTACGAATCATGCCACTCTGGCGTTACCTCGTCTTCGCCGGCCGGATCCAAGAAGCTGAAGAGCCGCGTCTGTAGCGGAACGGCCGCCACGGCAGTGGCTGAAGGCCGTGTCCTGGAGGCAGGGCCGGCCGCCACCGGCGTCGTCACCGCCGCGGCTTCCGCCTCCTTTCCTTCGCCGGCCGCAGTCACGTCGGCTCGATTCTCCAGCTGCGCCGCCGACGGCGGCGGCGCAGCGGCGGCGGCAGCAGCCGGGCCCTCGCCTTCCGCCGCCGCTGCCTTACAAACCCTGTCCAGGTCCAGATGGCGCCGCTTGACGCCGCCGGTAAACCCCGTACTGCCGCCGCCACCGCCGCCGCTGCCCATGGTACCTGTGGTGTGGCCGCCGCCGCCTGACGCTGGCATCATGTTAGAAACCTCGCGCAGTACAGGCGCGGCGGCGGCGGTGGCGGCGGCGGCAGCGCCCGGTACCGCCGGAAGCGGTTCTCTGCAACTTTGGAACCCCGCGGCCGATCTCGGTGTTACTTGCTGCGGCGTTCCCGCCGCCGCGGCGGCACCCTGCGGTGGTGGTGTTGCTGTTTCCGTCGCGGGTACGGCAACGCCGGGGCCGGCGGCAGCGGCAGCGGAGCCGCGCCTTGCGCTGGTGCGACGGCTCCTTGTCCCGACTGCCGCCGCTCCCGCTGCCGCCGCCGCGGCCTGGACACCGCCACTGCCGCCGCCACCAGCAGCAGTGGCTGCAGTGCTGCGCCGTCGGCCCCGTTGAGGCTGCAACTTTGGCGCCTCCGCCTCCGCCACGCCGGCGGCGATATTGATTCGTGGATCTGGATTTTGATCCAGTCCCGCTGGCGGCGGCGGCGGCAGCTGCTCCAGGGAAGGCAGCTGTGAGAGCAGCAGAGGCTTACCCAGGGCGGCCTCCAGTTGGCCGTACAAATGACTAATCGTCGTCTGTGAGTACGGTCAATGCCGTACAAAAGAAGATGGACATGCGGGAGGGAGGGGAGTTAAGGCACGCGTGGCATGTACGACCAAGTGTGTTTCAATATCGAGGAACCCCTCTCCCCGCATCGTCGCCCCCTCTTTCATGTGGTCCCTCACTATCCAATCCGCGACCGTTTGTCGAACTCCCTCTGTTTTATTATACCCCCAATACCCCAAAAACCTATTTCTGCTCTCCTCTTCCCCCCCCCCCCAAAACACACACACACGCACACAGGTTTTGCCGGCTAGACACTTCAAAATACTCTGGTTTTCTTTCCTTTAAAACCCGAAAACCCTGATTCCCCGACCTAACCCACGATTGCCATCCTCAACAACACCATTTCCCCTACCCCTCTCTCTTTTCCCCCCCCGTGAGGAGAACAGGACTTGTACGAACCATTTTGGCATCTGCTTGGATCTCGCGACGGTTCGTCTTCCCCCGACAGACCGGGCAGATGACCTCCCCCCGCGGCCGTACATTGTGAGTGATGCACGCCCTAGCAATACACGGCGGGTCGTAAAAACAAGTATGAGGGGGGCCATGAAGGGGGGGAAAGGGGGGGAGAGCGAGGCGGGGGAAGTTATGGTAGGCGGGAGCTTGTTTAGATGTGCAGGTTTTTTTCATTCATTCCGTGTTCCATTGAGGGGGAACACAAAGAAATGCAATGGTGGTGTAATGATGATGACGGCTGTGGATGCTTTTCGATGCTCCATCGCACACACCTCCTCTAAACCCTAGCTCCTCACCACCACAACCACAAACGCCGAGCCCATAGTTACCACTTATTTCACTTACCAACAAAAGTAATGGAGGCAGGGCAGGCGTGCGGGCTTCTCCATAACAGCCAGGCTGTGAGCGCAATCGCCAAGTGAGACGATGACATGACGGAGAAGATGAGGCAGGGGTTGGTGAAAACGGGGGGAACGACAGGACGACCGACGGGACCCCTACAAGTTTACGACAATCTAATCCACCATACGCATTCATCTTGCCGTGGTAGAACGTAGTGGCAGCGGTGCCGGCAGCAGTGTTGGTAATGCCGGTGGTGATGGTAGTAATGGCGGCGGTGGTAGTAATGGTCAACGAGGGCCGGGGTTGGGTGGGCGTGGGGGAAAGAGCCGTGCGCCGGCTTCCGGGTTTTTTCCCGACGCTCCCCCGCAACACCCCTCCTCCTCACTGCCGCCAGCCGGGATTGAGGTAAGGAGAAGAGTTCATCCCCCCCTGGAGGGAACCCCCTGGACCGGAGTTCTCACTCCCTTGGGCGCGCACACTCGCATCACCCCGTTCACTCCCCCCACCAACGCACCAGATCGGACATGCGATGACACGGCCCAGCGCATACACACGCTCCTGGGGGGGACGCGGGGGGAAGGGCGGCACCGGAACCGGGGTGGGGGGGAGTAAGAAGCTAGACCCATATCGGGGGAAAGCAGCAAACGGCGGCTTTGGTTGTTCGATCCTTCGTCGCGTGCTTGACGCAACGAGGGATGGCTAAATTTCCAGGAGATGCGGCTAACTGTTGCGTTCTTTATTCTTTGGCGCGACTGTACTGTGCGTCCTTTCGAAGTGCTGCTAGGCCGAATAGGTAGGCTTGCTCGCTCTGGGATGCCTAAAACCCCACCTCAAGCTCCCCAGATGTGTCCGCCATTTTCCTTGATGTGGCGACGGCAAGAAGATTTGAATCGGCGTAATAAGCCTTTAGTCCGGATGGCACAGTAGCTGAGGCAAGGTCAGGGCCCCAATCGAAGAAGATTTGCCCGTTGAAGCGAGGGAAGCACTTCGCGTGGAGAAATCAATATCACTCAGTGCGTTCAACCATTAGCGTATGTGATAAGCTACGTTGCAAGTCTTTGGAAACCGCCGTGCAGCTGCGGTCGGCGGCATCGAGGTGCTGCCGCATTGCAGTTATACTATTCAGATTTTGGTATATCTGTTATGCTTAAGGGTAAGGCGTGGAAGCGATGTTTCCAACGATAGTTGATGTGTGTCATGCAGCAGCCCCAACAACAAAGCAGAGTGATGTCCAGCGACTTCCAATAGGAGATGTCAATTTACGAGCGCCACAGCAGTAGCAGGGCAGTATCACAGAAACTCAGCTGTGCTTGTTCGCAACCTGTCAGCGGCAGTTCCCGCCCCCTGGATCCAATCGGAATCAGTAACGCTTCCCAGCTCAAGAAGCAGGTTATGGTGATGCTTCTATACATAGCTCTCTGGTTGCACTAAATTATCATTATGAATGGCGAACTGCGAGACTCACAACCTGCCAGTCCTGGTGAGAAAGCTACGGCAGCACAGCTAAACTCAGACCGACCCTGCTAAGTACGCTTCGTGTTTTCTCCTTTGCTTTTGTAGGAGCTTGAACCACATCAGATACGCGAAGCGCTGCGTTGTAAGAAAGCCACACAACACCATCCTCTCTTTCGTTTTTTACGCAAGCCCAAGCTTGCTACTTTTTTTGGCTACAGGCGTACTTCACACAATTATCTTTAACCGGGCGCTTGGATACGTCATTCCTACGGACGTGGACTCGGAGCTTTTCGACATTACATACGTGAGGGAAAAGCCCTAACGACTTGTTTCGGCCTCCAGCCCCACCTACACGTCTTTTTGCCAGCTTACAGTAATTTCTTAAGAAGCTCCTGACACGTTCTCCTTGAATACTTTTTCTCAGATATTTTTCGTTGGCCATGCCTTCCCTTACATGCCGCGCCGTGGCACATCCCCTGCCAGCGGCCGGTAGCACGAAGCATTCCCTCAGCAATTCACCGCAGCTCCTCCTGGTCCGCAACTCCTTCTCCCTACCGCACCACCAGCATGTTGCCCCGCGTGTGTTTTCCCGGGGGGCCCATCGCCCAGTTATTACATGCTTGCTAGCATTGAAGCTCTGCCTGCGGGAAGCCACGTACCTTTCACCACTTATCATCCTCTGCTGTGAGAGTGCACCTATAGCATCTTTAAAGACTTTGGTTGTTTCGAGTTGAAGGCTGTGCGTCTGCTCCCCGGGCGCTGGCTCAGAGCTGAGAGAATTTCAGAGGCATTCCCATTTCCCCTCACTCACACAACTCTTTACCTCCAGGTCCAGTGCGGCGAGCCAGGGGTCGAGGCCAGGGTGGAATCACGTATCTCGGATTTCTGCGCGCAGGTAAAAAGGGGGAAAAGGGGGAAGGGCTGCCATGACCGATCCCTCCGCGATCGACGAACCACTGGTGAATGTAGCAGATACCAAAGACGGGTAGGAAGTGAGAGAAATGGGTGGAGCGGGTTCACGCTGTGTGTGTGTGGCGGACCTGGGGTGGGAGGGAAAAAGAAGAGCCGGACGAGGTGTGGTTTCCATCACTCGTATTCCTCTTGACTATCCTCTTCCACCCACACGTACATACATACATTCATACATGTTCCCTCGCCCTCCCTTCCCCGGCCTCGAACACCCACCCCACTGAAACCCCAGGTCGAGAAAAAACCCGCCGAGCTCCATCAGGTACGACGCAATTCATGAGTACGGCGTACGTGATTTTTGTACGGCTGCAAGGTATACACGCGGCGATGTACCCCTCCCGATCCCCCCCTCCCCTCTTCCCTCTCCAAACCGCTTTTCCCTTACCAAGTCGCTACTGTTTGGTAACTTATTACAATTTTCTGCAGTGCATGTCTACGCCTCGAGTATCCGTCTATCTCTAGTATCAGCATCACGCGACTGTGGTGCGTGCGTGTGTGTGTGCGTGTGTGTGTGTGCGGTTGCATCGGGCTCCAGACTCACGAAGGGTAGAGCAGTGTTTCCCCCTCTCCCGCCCTCCCGCCCCCCCCCGCAGCTGCATCTTTCCTTTTACGAGACGCGTCGGAAGCAGGCCTGGTTTGGCACGCAGGACGAGCGACTCTACTGGGAGACATGGTGGGTTGGGGGGGGAGGGGGAGGGGGAGGGGGAAGGGGGAGATGGTCAGGTTTGGGAGACGTGTTTGCTTGTGTATTCGTGGTGGGGTGGGGGCGCGGGGCGGGTGTTGGGTTTTATGTACTTGACGACTGGGAGGCATAGTGGCCAAGGAAAAGTGAACCCGCATCTCCCCGTGTCCTAGGGAACGGCGGGCAGTACGGCGGGTACGGCTGTACGTGCGGATAAGCCTAGGCGTTGTACTTTTTGTCTGGATGCATTGGTTTTGGCTACTAGCAGATATAGGTCAACACAATGTCCCTTCCCGTACAGGGATATTGTCTGATCAGCCCGAAAGCCCGCACCCCCAGGGTTATCAGCGTGCTCGTACTACAACCTGACATTGCCGTACAGCAACAGCAACAACAGCAGAACTCTCAAGGCGCTCAGGCAGTAGCCGTTCAGAAGCAACTGAACATGACCTCCCAAGGCAAGTAGTTGTGCCAGGGAGTGGGGTGGGGGATGGGGTGGGGATTTGTGTTTTGCAGTTTAACCACTTGCCAGGGTAACGGGAAGTACAGGGATCGAAAATCGTTTCTGCATATTTTATATTTTATTTGTTGGCTCTGCAGTTTGCAATCTGTTTCCATTATCACATGCACCAACCATGACCAGCACCAATCACCCAACCCACCCACTTCAAACCCTTTCCCCCCCCCGGCCCCCCCTCACCGAATCCGCTAATTCGTACATACACACCGCCCCCAGTCCGTGTCGCCCGCCAAGCCCGGCTCCAGAGCGCCTTGGAGGAGCAGCTAGCCATTGTGGTGCGTCTGTATGTATGTAATTGCGTGCGTGTTTGTGGTTTCACTGAGCTGAGCGTGTACAATGTTCGTCCTGTCCGTCTGTCTGTCTGTCTGTCTGTCTGTTTTAATGATTTAATACAAGTAACCCCGGCTATGTGTGTATGCATGTATGTCTCCCGCCACAAATAACAGTGTGTAAATATTTATGTATGTACGTGTGTACGCTTCTGCTGCTCGTCAAACAAGATTTAACTCCCCAATCTCAAGCCCCCCGGGGCGTTGCCATTTCCTAAGCTGCACACTTACGGCGGATGGTGTTCAGGGCGCATATCTTGACAGCTGCTACCTTTTTCCTTTTTCATATCGTCATGTAACTCTCTCTTCCCCCCCCCCGCACCCCGGGAAGGGAAGGCTGAGGGGGTAGGGGGGGTTGAGGGTTGTGCGTGGTATGTACGGCTGTTAGTGTTTGTTTCAGTGATGCGGGTGGTTGTGGCGTGTAGGTTTTTTTTACCAGATTGTGAAAGTGCATAGCACCCTTGTACATCGTCCCGTGTGTGTGCGTATGTGTGTCTTTGTGTTTTGTTTGGGGCTTACTTGCCTTCCACTACCCCCCTCTCCGTGCCTTTCCTCAAATTCCCCCCCAACACATACATACATGTATACACACATACAGGTACGGCGTGTCAACGACCGACGGGACCACATTCCCCCCGTGCTGTCCCCTTCGGCAGTCACCTTCCCCTTCGACATCACATTCTCCGGGTGAGTGTACGACGGTGCGTTTTTGTACGTATGTTTGTGCGTATGTATGTATGTTTGATTGTGCTTTCTTGTTAGGACTTCAATATCGAAACGCCGTATAAGAGCAAATGTCTCTTCTGTAACGTGTGTGTTTCTTACACGAGGCGTGCCTGTGCGTTTGCGTTTGCGTTTGTAGTTGTGTGTGTGTGTGTATCGTCGCACTCAATCAGAAGGGAACATTTCTGACGTGGAGTACGGCAGAAGGGGAGAGGACGCACAAGGCCCTGGAGGGAAGGGCCCTTTGACCCGACCCCCCACCCATCACCGCATACACCACACCACACACTAACCGTCCCCTATCCCTTAAGACGCACACATATCCTGTGGGTGAGTGTACGACGCACATACCGCTGTACGTTTCCGCCATCACCGCGGGTATTACGTTCCATCTCATTCCCCCGACCCACATTTCCTGTTTCCGTGTTCCCTGTCCATTCGTTCATCTGTATGTATGTATTTATGTATGCGTGTACGTATGTATGTTTGTCCGCCCTTCCGCAGTTCATCGACCCGTGGGTCACTCCAGGGTGGGCTACAGGCGGTGGGGAAGATGCTCATGAAGGCAACACCGCCGCCAGTGCTGGGGTGAAGGAAGGCGCGAGGGTGTTTTAGAGGGGGAGGGGGAGTGGAAGCGTGGTCCGTTATTTCTGATGAAAGGAATGCAGAAGAGGTGTTTACCGGCGTCTTGGGTTTCGCGAATAAGGACGAGGAGGGGAAGTTGTGGGTGTCCCAGGTAGAGCCGGAGCGTTCAGTCGGAGCGGAGCGGGAGGTTTAGGGTTTTAGAAAGGGTTAATTTTAAGAGAATGCCAGGGATTGGGGGGGAGGGGGAGGAGGAAATCTATGCAAAAGTCGAATGGCTAACTGCCGACAGGAGGGGAGGTGTCTGCAATAGCTCGTTTGAGGATCAGAGCAGACCCTGGAAAGGGGGAAGATGCGGGGTGTTTTGGAACTTTGGATTGAAAAGGATTTGGTGTATAGGGATTGGGAGGAGCAGTATTAGTCGGGGAGGGGCCGGGGCCAGGTTCTACGTTTTTTTTTGAGGACCCCGTTTCTTCCTGCGGAGTTATGCTGCACTGGATGATGGCCCCCGAAATGGGCAGACTACGCGATCCCCTGTCTCGGCCTTTTCCGGGGGCTTTCGTGAAGGGTTCTGGTTCTGTTGCGGGATTTAAGATTGGAACAGCTCTACTATCGAGAGAGATAGAAAATTTGCAGCTGAAAAGGCATGTTTGTGGCATAATCATGGATCATCGACTCAGGCACACTTTCGGCAATACGCGTTGAAATTGGTGATGGATCCGTAGTACAACGCTTCCAGCATGCAACTTTTTCTTGGCGCCCCCAAAAAATTCGACATGAAAGAAACAACGCCGTCCCGCAGCTGGAAACCAATTTGCGACCTTTTACCACAACTTTGAGTCTTAGCCGTTTTCGGTTGGACGTTGCCTAGAGACCCGGACCTCCATAGCTCCATACTCAAGTAATGCGTTTCCCTTAAGAAATCAATAAGCGCTATCGCACGTATGTGACTAAGTATTCGTGGGAGCCGCAAAATGAGTCCGCACGATGAGCACCTAGAAAGTCTGTTGGGGGAATATGACCACGGCGTGCGCAAGGGATGGCATCCTGACCATCAGTCTTGGCGAATTTTTCATGCCTTGTCCTTTTTTATTGGCGGTACAACTTTCATTGCGGGTGAGCATTGACTGGGCAGCGGTTGGTGTAATGGCAATGTTTTGGGGCAGCCTTCTCCTCCTCTCCTTTGAAATCCTAAAATGCATTTATTATGGAAACGCTGTGTAGGGACCGCCTGCCTCTTCTTTCCGGGCTTGGACTTCTGGTCAGCAGCACTCTACACCCTTGGTTCATGCGGCTTTCTGGCAGTAGATGTTCAGGTATCGCACGAACCATCACCGCTGTTTCAACGCGCTTCCCAGCTTTCAGCAAAGCGTTAGGTAAAGCGCGACCAAGAGCGCCAGGCAGGCGAGAGCCCGACCTCTCCTCCGAGCTTTCCACCTCTGCATTCCCCTCCCAGCCAACGGACCCCATTTCCACGCGCACACTCCCAAGAAGGGCTCCGCGCACGTCTCCAAATTTCATTTCCATGGTTTACTGCGGTCTCCCTCCCTCCTTTTGCATAAAAAATATTTTTCTCCTTATGAACGCCGCACTCCCCTCGACCGCTTTCCCCCCCTTGGCTCTCTCACCTCCCCCGACCCCTCTGCTCAGTTCTTCATCTCACTACCAGGCTTAATTCTTACTGCATCTTATCTCTTTTCCCTCTAAATTTCAAATCATTTGAAACGCAAATCCCCCATTCCGCCATGCATTTCAGGAGTTTTTCACTTTCAGCGGCGCCGTCCTGCGTGCCAACATCGCCATGTCCATGACCGGTAGCTTTCTCTACGTCGTTGGATCTGTGGTAGGAGTTGCGTGTGTGTGGGGGGGGGGAGATTTGGGGGAGAAGAGATGGGGGATGGGGAAATGCGAGGGGGAGAAAGTGGTAGGACTGTACTAGACGGGGAGGCCGCCGTTCCTCGCAGCGAAAGGGGTCCTGAGCAGATTAGGGACCCGCGCGCT